GTCGAACTTGCGAAGAGGGAGGAGGGAGGGAGGGAGGGAAGGTGGGAGGAAGACAAGGAGGAGGAGAGGGGAGGTGGGGAGGGGAGGGGGGGGGAGGGGGGGGGCTTCGACCTGAAAGATCAGGGGTTAGGATTTGCACCCGATCGAAAGAAACCTTGCTATCGCAAGAGTAACTCCAGCTAGCTTCGCTAGCTTTCGTGAAAAGGAAGTCGAATCCCGAGAAACAAATTAACGAAACGTAACACAACGAAAGCAAACCACGCAAACTCAACCTGCGCATGCTTGAACCCAAAAACTCGGACTGAATGGTGCAATGACCCTCATGTTGCCGCAAACACAAAAAGCAGAAACAACATGAAACAACAACTCCGCACATGCTAACAAAAACATCAACATCGTTCATTATTGCCCCGCCAACCTCCTGACCCCCAACCTCCCCACCCCCGAAAATCAGTTCTCGGGCAGCCAGGGCGCCAAGAACCACTAACTACTGCTTCAACTTGCTTCAATAATGCAACTGATATTGGGCCGCACCCAAACCGAAAGAATGAAAATTGAACGTAACCGAACCAAAACATATTGCATGCATGCAAAACGAGCTGACAAGGATCGCAAACCAAACCAAGCCGCATCGCTTCAACAATGGTGGACTCAACTATAGACAGAAACCTGTCTGTCTTTGTCTTTTTACAGGAGGAAAAGGAAACGGTTTCTAGAAAATGTCGCCGCGCCACCTTCAGTTTTCTTTCCATAGGGCCACGCAGCTGGCCCGCCCACGCAACACGCCTGGATTCACAGGGAAAAGATTGAAGGAAGTATATACTCTGAATCAGAAAGCGGCTGCGGCCTGGAGTCTGATGGGAGCAGCTCTTTACCTGAACAGGTGAACCGCGAAGCCGGTGCTCTCGCGGTATGCTATTGATACTTCGAGGCACTTGGACCAAGGCCACACCTAAACAAAACTCTTCTGTTTGACCGAGCCAAAACAAATTTGGCCAAGCAGCAACTGGCAGCTCCTGGCCCCAAAAGCAATGCGGCTACCAAAAATGCAGCTCCCAAAAGGGCCTCGGATGTCTCGCTGGTCTGTGCATGAATGGAGGCGTCGGCAAGTACAGTGGCCCATGAGCTTCACAACGCAATACTATCATCCAGTAGCACCTAATGCGACAAGGAGCTGATACCATTCCAAGCCGCTTAATTCTTTGCCACTTGTTCTTCTCCTGAAGAAAGCATCTGAACCCTATTCACAGTCAACCCCAAACTTGAACGTCTTCTTTTTATAGATTGGGGTCATTCCCTCTCCTCCTGCTCTTGTAGCTCATTCTCCGGGTGCTCCTGGCAATTGCACAGGCAGGAATGAACCCTGTTTGCGGAGAAACAAACGCAAAAGCACTCTTGCCATGTGCCTCTTGGGCAACCAGTCTGTGCTTGTTGGCCATATCCTTGGCTAGGTGGAGACACGAGAAGGAACCCAATAGCAAAAGGAACCTAATAGCGATGGCCTCCAACCGTATGGCAAAAGGATACATCGCCTATTAACTTGCCAAAATCTCACCTTCGCGACAATAAGACAATAAGACAGGCTAATCGGCAGAAAGCATCGATGGAATAATGGAATATGTGTAGGGGTTCAAAGGCCACAAACGACACCTGTTCCGTCCAAGAGTCTGCATGATGGCAACGAGTTGAGGGGGCTTCGCCGCTCACTCGCAAAATTGGCGACTGATGCTAGGAGTTTCGCAACAGGAAGGATGTGGAAACATGCGCGGCAACGATCAAGCACCAAGCACACGTTGGTGGCCAAACAACTAGGCTGGCTGGTTCGCTTGGGGGCTAAATTCAGCCCTTACACGCCCTCACAACCTTTAGACACGGTTCACCAACCTGTCACACGGCCATCAGAGGCAATCACAGAAACTTGCTGCCCAGCAATTGTTTTCGCCATAACACTAACTGTCATGAGGCAGAAATAAGAGACTGCGATGGATTTGTTACAAAATGTCCCTGACCAGTGACAAACGAAACAAATTGCTCACTTCCGTGCTTGGCAGGCTTTTTCTCTGAACCTACTTGATCCGAGCAGTCGTGATGGGCAGTCCTGGGCGAGTCACCCACGGGAAGAGTCACATTTCTTTAGCCGTTGTCCAAAATCGTCTCAAAGTCAACGAGTTGTAAACTGGGACTTCTAGCTGCAAAGCTTTTCCACACTGGACATCGCACTCCAATTCCCAAAATAGTGTTTCCTTACTTGTTCCCATGTGAGTCTGTGAGTCGGAGTCTCTCCAAGCAATCTTCATCAATCACAGTGAAAGCTTTAGAAACACCTGGTGCAGGCCTTCAGATTGCCCGTTGCCAGGGCGACGGCCGAGCAATCGGCCCTCAGTCGACGAAGCATGTCTTGCGCCGTCGGCCCTTGGAGAAGGCAGTCCGGTTCAATCGGGTTCAACACTATACACCGTCCAACCTACTAGCGATGGCCTCCAACCTACTAGCGATGGCCTCAGACCTATTAATAGCGATGGCCTCCAACCTACTAAATAGCGATGGCCTTCAACAGTGCGATGGCCTCCAACCTATTAGCGATGGCCTCCAAATTAAGAGCGATGGCCTCCAACCTAGTAGCGTACTAAGTATATATTATATAAATATATACAGTATATACCGTCCCACGTGGTGTCCAAATCTGCTGACCTGGTGGGCTTTGGTCTTCAACTCTTGTGATCTCATGGGCGGGCCACAGAGAAAAGGAAGAAAAAGTTCTGGGAAACGAACAGACGAGAGTGGAGTGGTCCACCATGGTCCACCATCCACAGTTCTCGTCACTTCCACCGGGTCACCAGTTCTCCAGCTCGTCCAAGCTCTTTGGCCATCACCGCCAAATTGTTGAGGCAATGCCTCGGTGCGACCGGAAGCCAAGCAGGTCTCGACCTGGCCAACCAAAGCCTGGACCACTGGGTGAACAGTCAAACCAAACGTGTGATGATCCTGTCACTGTGGTGTGCCTCCGCGCAACTGGAATGCTTAAGCTGTGGAAACTGAAGCCAAGTTTGTGGTGCGTCTCCCATGTCCGCTTTCATCCCTATGGCCCGTGCAGAGTTGTAGGGTGCTTTGGCCCCAATGTGGACTCGGCAATCCTGGCGTTGGGCACGGCAGGCCACAAGCTTTCAAACATGTTGTCCCAGAAGCGGTTCGAGCGAGTGGAACACAGGTGTCTTACAATGTTACCGCCTTTGGAGCGGTCACAGAGCCAAGTGCTAGACCCTTTATCTCGTCTTGACCAAAGCAGGCATGTCACATGCCGGCACCACAACAAGGCCCGCCGATACAAATCTTCAGCCTCTGACTGGCTTCCATCCTGAAGCTTCAATACAGCTTTGAAGGTTCACGCTGTGCAAACAATGTTTGTCATCCACCACTACCTTTTTGGACAGTCACCCCAGCTGCCAGAACCAGGCCTTCCAAAGTGAGTAAGCAAGATTGATCATTGACCTCAGTTCACATCACATGGTCTCACACTCTCCAAGATGCGTTTTAGCCGTTTCTCTTCCACAGTATATTCCGATGTTTATGAATTTCTTTTACAAAGCTAAAACACCTGACCCGTCATTTCGACGTTTTAACCTTTAAGGAGTTGACGAGACAGTCTCCGGGTGTGACACCCCGTAGTACGCCTGAAAGATCTGAAAGTGCTTCTCGATGAAACACATGGTGCAAGCATCACAAACAACAAAAACATGGTCTCACGCACGAAGCCATGAAAACGGAAACCAGCTTCTGTGGGCTCGTCTATGCACATCATTTGAATTTTTCAGTGAAGCTTGCGGGAATTCGAGCAAAGGCCTGCTTTCCTTTCAGAGCCAGGCGGTACAGCTCCTGCTCGTTCGCTAAGTGCGGACATGACACTTGCAAACCATTGCAAACTCCCTAGACTGCAGCGTCGAATGCATGAGGTTTCTGCTAGGTGTTTGCAGCTGTTCTAGCCATGAGGCAAGTTGATGTGCCGAGCTTAGAAATGCATATATATATATATAAATGAGGCATAGAGCAGGCACACTGAACTTGCTGCCCAAAGTGTAACGGTGGCCTGAGCATCTTTGGGGCGACACTGCCCCACCACAGTGGCAAGCCTGCTGCGATTGCTGGTGAACACAACAGTGCACCTGCATTGTGATGTCTCAACGTGCTTGTTGGGCCAAGTTACTCGCAAAGGGAGCGCAAGGTTGTGGGGTGGTTCTGCCTCAAGAAAGCTGGACTCAAATTCCTGCAGTAGGCGTGGACTATCTTTGGGATTGTTGTCATCTTGACTTTGAAGGAGAACTGGGTCCAGTGGGTCCTGTAAGTCCTGTGAGTCCACAATCCGGCACTGGGACTCAGGCCCCAAAGTCTGACTTCTGCCATTCCAAACTCTGCGAAAATTCATCTCCGCATCAACCTTGAACTCTGAACTAGTTGCTGCTTCACAGCTTAGAGTGCAGAACAAGTTCGGTCGGTTGCAGAATTGAAATGAGTGCAAGGCATGAAGGCCTGCATGACGGCACACCGCAGCCAGATTGTGCCTTGCAAGAAGGTGGCCAACAAACCACAGACAAACCAGGTGCTTCGGCGAGGTAACACCGTCTGTCCGATGGACCGCTACGTCGCTCAGATCCAAACTGCAATCGTAGGCTCTCTGGATGCAAGTGACCAGACCTGAGAGTACCCGTGCCACTCATGTCCACAAAATATCACGATGCTTGGTGCAAATTATGATGGCAAAATGCATTTCGAAGCTAGTTTGGAAGGTGGCACATCCAATTCCTAGCATGTGTGTATATATATATATAGCAAGAAGTTGCTGTTTCAACACATCTCTTGCTCGGCAAAAGTTTTCTCCACAAGAGCTGTTCAAGAGTCAAGAGCTGTTCAAGAGTCAATGTGGTTCGCTTTCAAAAGTCACAGCACTTGCTGAAACTTCCAAGTTCCCATCACCCCATCAGTCTTTGGATGGAGATCCCAGGGGTTCAAAACGCGGCACTCACTCCTGCTGCAGCGTAGACGAGCCCGGTCTCACTCAACGCTCCTTGACTGTCGTAAAGCCACGAGGTACCGAACTTGGAGTCGTGCCAGGCGTAGCGTTCCACCATCTCGTGACTCTCCATCCAAGGGATCACTTCCTCAGTCCACAAGGGAGAAAAATAGCACTGGATCATCGCGGAACGAAAGCTGGACCATGTTTGCCACTTTTTGACTTGTTTGTTGCACCCACCATCAAAATTGACTCAGCACTACCCACAACATCCTCGGGTCGTGTCGGGTCGTCTCAGGTTGGGTCGGAATAAGCATGTGTGGGGGGGGGGGGCGGGGGGGGGGTCAACACACCGATTGCACCAATGAACTGTTGCTCAACGCTACTAGGTTGGAGGCCATCGCTGTTAGGTTGGAGGCCATTGCCATTAAACATCTAGAACTCAAAGACCCAACACCACAAACACACATGCACAGTGGGTCGGTCTCGATGGGTTGCTTGAAAGTCCGCCAAGCATCGTTGATGAAGTTGTTGACCTCTTCCTGGCTCCATTTACTTGGATTAGAGCCGCCTTCTGCAATCGTTTGAGGAGCAAACTCAGTGATCCAAATAGGCTTCTGGTAGGTATCAATGATCTCCTGTTCCGGGGATGATAGATGCCCTTATGAAAAGTGCACCTTTTGCCTTTAAAGCATGGTCTTCATAATATGTAAACCAGCCTGCATGTCACTTTTAAACTTCTCCGGCTTGGCTCCCTTGTACCAGTGCACACACACGAAATCCACATGAGGCTCTGCGGCCATAAACTCGGGGAACCATGAGCCCGTGACCGGGTTGCCCGCGGTGGCGGGCGAACCCAGTCGTCCATTGCTGGGGACTTTGGCTTCGACTTCAGGCCACAAGCTCAGTGCTTCAGCCACGCTCATATTGGCCTCCAAAACGCTCCGGAGACCGAAGGTCGCCGAAGGGCCTTAAGATGCCTACTAGGAACAAGGGCATCGCGGCATCGCTACTAGTAGCTCCTGGCATTACGACTAGGAACAAGAAGCTACTAGTAACACGTTTTCCCCTAAGCATCCCTAAGCCCTATGCAGCTTCGTCTTTAATTAAGTGGCCTTCAGCGGACCCATCATAGCCGACAGGAAAAGAGAAGAGCCAAGAGCGACGATTGATTGACCACATACCGCATACCCGTGAAACAGTTCGTAAGCTTCCGACAAAAAAGACTCGATTGAACTTAAAACATCTTGAACTTCTGACAAAGTAGAGTGAAACTTCCTAAATTGGTCAATGCTAGCTGCTAGTGTATGCTTATGGCTTATGCGAATCTGTAGGTATGTCGGCGTCCACCAATCAAGACTCATCAATTCATGCCAGTCTGCACCTGGTCCTCATGATCTGGCTCATTAAAGCCCAGCAGCTCATGGCTGCCAGAGGCAGGGTTCCATTGAAGGTACTTGGCATTTTGCATGATCGGCACAAACTCCACATCATCAGGCACATCGATCTTGGGTTTTAATCCCCAAGAGTAAAACCACGAAACATTCAACGCATGTAGCTGTGTAGCTCCATAGCCCGTGGACGAAGGAAGTCCAACACCTTTCTTCGTCGCAACGAGTAATCGGGACTGGGACAGGGATCGAGTGCGTTTGCGCTGTTCTTGTAACAAGCAGGCCCCTCGAGCCGGTTGGGATTCACACTGCTCCTCCGCCGCCACATTCACCAAGACAGCTACCCACAGAACGCGCAAAGCCATGCCGCAAGGCTATTGGATGGACGGGTAAGGTGGTCTGAAATGACTGCAAGTCAAGACCAGAGCAGAAAGACTGAAACTCAACATTTACCTACATTTACTTTGTTCAACTTTGCGCCGGGCCCGGATATATTTGGAGAGTTTTGTTTTATTGCGTCTTTGTTTGCTGATGCTGGGATGGCCGAAAATGCCGATTTTGTGGCAAACGCAGCACTTTGTGAAACGCGAGGCGCTGATCTTAGCATCCAGGTCTCATATCATCAATTGGCTGAATCCTGGTGGCCCCTAACATCCACCGTTGTGGGGTTGCGCTGGCTTTATGTCTACATTCTCAAGGCTACATATAACTTAGCGACTATATCAAAGTTTTCAACCTGAGAAGGGAGAAAACGGAAGCCAGCCTTGTGAAGAAGACATCAATGTGGTTATTATGGGGGGTGAGTTCGACAGCGCACTGGGGTTGCTGTCAGGCATGGGGAAATAGAAGCCAGAGAGGTGGAAAGTCTGGGCCAATATTACAGTAGATAGAAGTGGAGTCCATGCGTTAGGAGAAAGGTTAAGTGAGCAGGACATTTACAGTCCGGCGGGATAAAGGTTGAATTGGGCAGGACATTTGCAGGTCGGGGGGCGCCCTTTTGTTTTGGCTTAGGGGCGTGCTGCTAAGAATGGTGCAGTCTAAACTTTACTGCCAAGCTCACGTGATTGCCTAACATCGAGCAAAGCTTACTTGTAGTCTAAGTTTTACGGCTAAGATCGAACACAAAGATTACTGGCGTTATGGGGTGAAGTCATGTTGAATACAAAATCTGTTCAATCATCAACATGTACTGCGCTGGGCCTACAACGCTTATGATATATACATACACTGCTGTGACGGACATTACTGATACAGCCTACATCCCTGTCTTCTCCGTTTCTTCTCTCTCTCTCTCTCTCTCGCTCTCTCTCCAATCAATCATTAAAGCATCACAAAGGGCTCAGGAGACTATTTGGACAGTCTTTCCACAACAGGTGGGAGATCGGGTAGAGGACAGGAAAGGGGGGGTGCCCCTTCTTATGGTGAAGAGGGCTGTTACTTGGATTAAAAAGGCACCCCTGGGAGCTATAGATGTCCAATGGAGTCGGGCTTTGGTACGGATCGGTAACAGTGGATGGGAGTTGATCCAGGCGTTGTGTATATCGGCTCTAGCCTACCGAGCTTCAAAGCAAGACGCTGCGTCTCTCAGTCCTCTGTTATGCTGTGGTTTATAAGAGTAGAAGGGAATGCAAGAAACGATGTCGCCCCACACTAAGGGGGCTCACCAGGCTAACCGGGTGCGTCCATCCCGGAAGCGGCGAGACTCTGTGCAAGTTAGAATATCCTTCTCATAGAAATAGTGTTCGGACAACTCAGGAGGATATTGCCGGCTTGCGGCTTGATTGTTGCTTGGGGGTGCCCCTTTTTGGGGGCTAAACGGCTGTCAGCCGGATGAACAAAGCGCACCCCTCTCGGCTATAGATGTCTAAGGGAGTCGGACTGTTGCGCGAATGGCAGTCTATCCGCTATCCTATTACAGGTAATGGTGTATGGGAGTTGATCCAGGCGTTGTGCATATAGGCTCGACAATTTGGGTTCACCCTACCCGGCCGGGCCGTCTGTGCGACCACCCCCCCACACATACCCTATACTCACTTCGCTCGCCCATCGACAACTCCAGCCTCGGCTGGCTTTCGAAAAAAGTTGCGGTTTTAATTGTGTTTTTTGCGGTGGCAGGTGCAACACTTTGTGATCTCGAAAAAAATTGTGACTTGCGCGAGGGAAGGAGCCACTTTACCAGACCCAGAAATTGTAACCTGCTTTGTTCTATGCACTATGTATATTTATATATATTCCTTTCTTCCTCTGAGACTTTTCTCCCTGCCTTGCTTCCTTCCTTCTGTCCTTCCTTGCTTCCTTCCTGCCTGCCTACCTTCCTTCTTTCCTTGAGTACCAACAAGGAGAAAAAAAGAACAAAGAAATGTCCCTCCCTTCGCACCTGCCAAAATGGCTCAGCTACTGAACTTTTCGGCAGCAATTTGTCATCTCTTCAGCTGACTGAGAAGGATACTGAGAGCAAATCCCATCAAATGCTTGGCGGCAGGTCCTCAGACTGCACGGCTCAAATTGGCTCTGAGTAGACACACGTTGCACATATTCCAGGCATTGAATACCTTCCTATCGTTTGTCCCATCAAACATGCCAGCTACGCTGAAGAGCGGGCTGTATGTGGCCGGCCATGAATAGCCTGTTCAAGAGAAGGAAGGAACGCTGTTAATAAGACTCTAAGACGTCCCAAAGGCCTGGGACCGAAGGAGTATGTGTTCAAGATATTTCAAGACACTTTCTGTGCGGAACTTCAGCGTTAACTTCTTGGGCTGCAGGCCCTGCACCATACTCGCCCAAGGATCGCCAAAAGTCCTGTGGCGCCAAGGTTAGTCAGCAATAGCCCTCATGTGCAAGTTTAGACCGGATTGTATCTCTGACAGGCAGCATGAGCGTGTCTTTTCTCCCCGGGCGTTGGTGTTCAGTGTTCATAACTCTACACATCTCCTCAGTACATTGCAACGGCTCACACAACTAAAGCAAATTGCCTCAGCTTTGGCCAAATGCTGTGAGAACATTGGATCACTTGGATCTGGTTCATCTGATCTTGCTCAAGCAGGCATCTCTTCGTGCTTTTCACGCTTTGTCTTCTCATTTCTCTGGCGTCTCCTTGGCCTCTGTGCTCTCCTTTTCTTTACTCTTCTCCGTCTTCTCTTTCATGTACGAATCTAACTCGGTGTCAAGGTTCTCTTTATCAAGGCCATCAGGTTCTTTGCCGAAGTACTTGCTCAATTCCTGGTCAAGTTGTTTGGGGTCAGCCGGCTTGCCATTGCTCTTGCCTTTGCCCTTCCCTTTTCGGACCGACGAAAAGCGGCCACCGCCGCCGCCGCCGCCAAAGTTCCGGAAGGCACCGTCATCCTTCTCCCCAAACATGTCATGCTTCCACCTCCCTCCAGCAGGACCTCGGCGAGGTGACCTTTCGCGCCCTCCGCGCTCATCATGCATGGAGTAGTTATTGTAGCTGCTGTTGTAGCTATTGTAGCCGCCCCCACCCTTGCCGTAGGATGCATAGCCTTTGCCTCCATACTTGCCACCCCCCTTGCCATACTTGCCACCATCTTTGCCCTTCCATCCCTTTCCTTTGCTTTTGCCGTAGCCATAGCCACCATCAAAGTCATCGTAGTAGTCACCACGATCATCCCAAGGCTCACGCCAACTCTTGCCCCCGCCTTTCCCCTTTCCTCCTCCGCCTCCTCCGCCTCCTCCACCCCAAGAGTCTTCATAGGGATCCTGTCTGCCACCCCAAGCACGCATCCCACCGCCCCCACCACCGCCCCCACCATCACCTCGACCGTCTCGCTTGGGCGGCGGTCCTGCCACCATGCCAAAGTCTTCTCTGGCCATATCCTTCGAGAGGAAGATCGCTTGTGTGTTGCACTTCTTGCTCATGGTGGATGGAGCGGCAGCGGCGAGGCGCAAACAGGGCGCTTCGGTGGATTGAGAAGAATCACGTGTTCTTGCAAAGGGTGCTGAGTGGTCCAACTTAGTGTGACTGCGGACTTCGCAAAGCTTGGAGCCTAGTGCTATCCTATCTGAGAGATCATGGAGAAGCCTTGATGTGCGAGCTGCTTTTGGCTCTGAAACAGCCCGTTGAGCCAACTGTGTGGAGATCAGATCCGGAGAATCCTAGCCTCTGACAGAAAGCGCGTCATGCTGACGAAGTATAGTATGGATGAGTGGAAGCCACCTAACCAATTGTCTGTTTCTTGCCAAGAATCCTGTACAGATTTTGCCGAGATGTTTCTGACAGAGGTGAAACGTTGTCAAGTCTGCAGAAGCAAAGCCGCTCTTATGGATGTGCTCTATATATATATATATATATTATATATATATATATGACCTTTGACACTAGTAACGCTCACTATTCGTCAGCAGGCCATTTACATATTGACACAAGAATGCACATCCTGCTGAGCCAAGGGATATGGAACACCTCTAGCAGGATCAAAATCCGCACGTGCTCAAACCAAGCCAGAAGCCCAGCCATTGGGGCCTCTATTTGGAAAAACTGCGCCATCTTGGCTAGACCAAGTGCTTTTGACCAGTTTACACCGGCCGCAGGAAACGCTTGCAATCCTTGCAACGTCAAAGTTTCCTCAGTTTCCTCCGCTGATTGCACGAATCAGTGTGCACCAGGGGCGACTGTCCACCATCGGAGTGCACTAACTAATCTTCGTCTCCGCAGGAGCGGGCATGATGGAATCCAATCGATTGATGACAGAAGACACAAACCTGGAAATCGTTCACAAGTACAGCTTGCATTTGGGAATGCTGTGAACCACATCCCAGCAATGTTTGCTCCATATTACAATTTAGTCGAGTGGCACAGATGTTGCATTCGACAAACTTCGTGCCTGTGCTGAGAGCGGGTCTCTGAATGGTGTCTGTCTGCATTGTCCTTGACTTGCAGCCTTTCCCTTTGAAAACAAGAGAATTGAAGATACAAGATTGGTCATGATTGGTCTATCTGATCTTTCTCGCAAATGTTAGCTTTGACTCTTTCTTTATCCACTCATTCCCCAAACTTCCTTGCCTCTTCAAAGAAGTTCCCCATCGATCGGTCAGTGAAGTACCAAGCAGAGGCAGCCAAGACCACAGAAAGCAGGCTTCCTTGACTCTGAATCTGGGATAGCCAGCAAACCAAGCAAAGCATAGATTATGGCATGCAAAACTAGAATAATCAACAGGTGCTGCCACTCATCACTTCCTTCCCACACTCACAGCGAGAAGTTCTACCCATTTTGCAGTTCAGAGGCCCACCAAAGCCACAGCAAAGACTTGTCTCACTATCCTGCGCCATTCAAGCAATTCAACAGGGCAACACAACTTGCAATCATCCGGAATGGGATGTTGAGTGAATTGTGCACAATTCCGCTAACTAAAGGACTGGTCCTTCTGGCACTATCATCCTCGCCGCACTCCAAGTCGACCGGCCGTGCCTATGAAACGAGACGATGCCGGACACGGACACAGTGGCTGTGAGAAGCTCGCAGCTTGGCAACTGCCCTGCGGCACCTGAGAACGAAATGGCACATAGATCTCCTGACCTTGGTAAGGCATGCAGACTTGGTGTCACGAACCATCCCAGACTCTGTTTAGCGTCTTAGACTACCAATTGCTTTTGGCTATTGGATTGGGCTTTTCTCAAACGTAGGAGGAGCTCCGCTCGGCTTTATTTGGATAGTTGATGAGTTTCCCTTGATGTTGAAAAGCTGAGCAAATCCAGGGGTTTCACATGGACATACCGTACCCAGCAGTTTTGGTAGAGTGGTCATGGACCAAACGCGAGTCATCGTGCACAGGGGATATCTTCCTCAAGGCAAAAGCGATCTTCAGATGCTGGGCACGAAACGGTGCGCTGCTATTGATGCTGTCGGCATTGGATGAAAATGCATACAAGAAGCTACTAGTAACATGTGCAATGCATACGGTCACGAGCATCCAGTGGGGCTTACGATGCACGCAAAGCGGCCCCGGATTTTGGAGATCACACCAATGACCTGTGCTTGTATTGCCATGCCAAGGGCGAATGCCGTGCACTGGGCACCCAAGTTTTGCCTCTTGAATATGTCATCTCTGCAAGACGTTCACGTTCCTCAAGCTTGGTACTGGTCCTGGCCCTCCGTTCATTCTTTTATATTATGTTGGTTTCTTTTCATGTCCGTCCGATGGTAAGAACATCTATCTGAACTTGTGCAAGCTGATTGATGTGTATCTTGCTTCTTGCATCTTTCAATCACCACATGATGCTTGGCATCTTTCTTTCCACGTTGAGATCTGAAACGGCATCGCTTGAGATCTGTCAGCGGGACATCGCGTTGACACCGCGGGGACAGCGATTCTCGGCGAGGCTTCGAGGCAGCGCACCTCCGGCGCAACTCCGCAGGGCCTGATGGCCGGGGAGTGCCGGTGGCCGGTGGCCCGTGGTGGGCAAGGTCAAGGTCGACTTTTCTGCATTCAAATTCTTCACAAATCGTCTCACTACTTGACACAGAAATGATATAGATATCGATAATTGAACGTCGGTACAAGTGACAAGTTTAGATACCTGAGAAGCTGCAAAACGAAAGCCAGCGCTTCCCTTTCTCGAGAACTGCGCGTCGAAGCATAGGATAGAAAGGTAGGTCTGCACCCTAGATCCACCATCCCACTCCATTTTCTTTCATTTCTCTACGGCAGCTCCGCTTGGCACTTGCCAGGTGGAGGCGGCCGTGAGACCTCTTACACACCTACACAAGTTCAAAGCACGAATGAGACTTCAAAGCTGTGGATTGCTGTGCGTGTGTAGAGGCTATCGAGCGGTTGACGGAAAGGGAACTTGAAGTACTATACCTGGTAGCTGCAAGCAAGGTGCCAACTACACCTTTATTTTCAAGGTGGCCTGAACAGAGTGTTTCAGGGCAGTAAACCGTGGTCTCAGGCCACCTTGAATTTAGCTTGAAAGCCACAGCTACATAGCTACCCTGGGTCTCTATACCTGGCAAGGTGCCAACTACACCTTTATTTTCAAGGCGGCCTGCACAGAGTGTTTTAGGGCAGCAAACCCTGGTCTCAGGCCACCTTGAATTTAGCTTCAAAACCACAGCTTTGAAGCCTCATGCGCGCCATACCTGGGAACAGAATTGTAGCTACAAGACCTTTATTTTCAAGGTGGCCTGAACAGAGTGTTTTAGGGCAGCAAACCGTGGTCTCAGGCCACCTTGAATTTAGCTTGAAAACCACAGCTACATAGCTACCCTGGGTGTCTATACCTGGCAAGGTGCCAACTACACCTTTATTTTCAAGGTGGCCTGAACAGAGTGTTTTAGGGCAGCAAACCCTGGTCTCAGGCCACCTTGAATTTAGCTTGAAAACCACAGCTTTAAAGCCTCATGCGCGCCATACCCGGGAACAGAACTGTAGCTACTTGTAGCTACCCTGGGTCCGTATATATAGTATGTTGCTATACCTCTTACACACCTATACAAGTTCAAAGCACGAATGAGACTTCAAAGCTGTGGATTGCTGTGCGTGTGTAGAGGTTCTCAAGCGGTTGACGGAAAGGGAACTTGAAGTACTATACCTGGTAGCTGCACTATAGCTACCCTAGGTCTCTATACCTTGCAAGGTGCCAACTACACCTTTCCATTCAGATGATGCAAATGATGCATTTGGCATTTCTTGCATCACCACCCCTCAAAAATCACCTCCAACACAACCTCAAAAAACCTTCCCTCGAAGCACCCTCCTCCCCCAGCATGTGCCGAGTTGACGTATACCTTTCTCGGGCCACCCCCCCAGACCCCCTAACTACTCACTTCGTTCGCCAGACACAACTCCGCTAGCGCCTTCTACGAAGGCTGGCTTTCGTAATATATATATATATATGAAACAACAATGACAAATGCCAATGGATCATTTCACCATCTGAGTGCCCTTTTTGATCCCTACCTGTCCAGCCGCTTTGGCCGCAAGCAGGTCCAACCATGCCTCGTCAAGTGGAAAACGTGGGCAGGGCACACCTCACATTGTCCTGTCTGAGCGGCGGGATTTATTTGTACTATCTATTATGTGGGGGCCCTATCTCATTCAGACTACTTTAGTAGGAGGTCATGTCACAGTATCTCGTTTAGACTACTTTAGTGTCATCAAAAAGTATCTCGTTTTTGTGGGGGGTGCTATCTCCTTCACCAGCGAATACTGGTGTTGGACAAACAAATCAAATAGAGCGTAGACTACTTTAGTGGGAGTGAAAGGCGCCGGAGACTCTGAGTCGACTCTTCCGACGGATTTCCACGGGGACTCCGGCACCAGTGGACCTGCTGGGGAAAAGGCAACGAATAGCCGAATAGCAAGTGATTATTGAATAAACTGAGCCAGTCGCATGTTGGCACACTGTAGCTCTTTGTCGCCGAAGGTGATCAGCACTGCAAAGGGCACCACAAGGCAACGGCAGCAGAAAATGTGCTTAGCTTGCTTCTACAAAGATGCGCGTCACTGACTTGAAATGAGAGATAGTTGTACTTTCAAACAAACAGCCACCAGTGGTAGCGTGAAGCCCCAGGAGCCAGGCTGTCGTTCGGTGATCTGTCAACAGGACCTCGAGATCGGCTCAAGATGCAGAATCGATCCAGCACCAATCATGTCTTCATGTCTCACCTTTTGCAAAGCAGCAAGCATCAGCAAGCTGCGTGCCTGCCTTTGCAACAACTTTGTGGAACAAGAAGCGGCAAGCAGTACCTGAGCCTCAGGAAGAGGGAACGTTGTTTGGCTGGATGTAGAAGGAGGGTGCACAACGAAAACAACAAGACCGGTCTAGCCTTGGATCGACTGCAGCAAGCTGGCTGGGCTCCCTGTGTGCAACTTCACGGAAGGGATCTTTAGTGCGGCCAGCTTTCCCATGTTTTCCCATTAATGCCTTGTAGCCAAGGCAGCCTTTTCTGCCAAAGCCTTCATCGCCTTGCAACTGAAAAAACAGTCGCTAAGGAGTCCACCAACGAGACCGTGGCCTCGCCGATGGGCTGCTGATAGTCCAAGAGGCTCCAAAGTCCATCCCTGACGTCCAAATGGTCTGGCGCTCTGAACTGATCTGAAAAAGGCAGCTCGGGCGGGACGAAAGATTTCTGCGGGGCCTGGTGGTGTAGTGAAAAAGCACCATAGCAGCCATGTTCGGTTGCGCGAGCCGCAAGTCCAACACCTCCACAGCAAACTCTTTGACGTCGACCAGCAAACAGGTGCTAAACACCTCTGACCAGACCCGGGTATGGCTGGGCTGGTGATCGAAGAATTCAACAAAACGTTCCTCAGGTCTGCTCAGAGCTGCATGCAAGTTTTGCCAAACACAGGAACGGATTCGCTCAGCGTGTAAATTACAATGTGGCTTGATCCTCCCACCACGAGAGGCCTCTTCACAAGAAACAGTCAAGTGTCGACTGAGTGCTGACATACCTCTTCGAGGATTGTCACATAGGAACCATCTTAGAGTCCAGCTCTCATTTGCATGAATCTGAAGTTGTATGAAATTCAAAGGCAATACGAATGCATTTGCCTGCTTCCAGTTTTCGTATGGATGATCTCACATCGAATCACTCCTCTAAGCCTTGGATCCGCACCTCCGAACGCTTCGCCTTTCAGGTAAGAGCAGCTGAAGTAGGCAGCCAAAGGCGCCAAGCCGGACGGAGCCGGCACCAGAGCAGCTTCGGGTAGGGACGGCAAACTGCGACGGCCTCAGCGGAGGTCCGGTTTCCGGTGTGTCCGGGGTCAGGCTTTGAGTCATATTGAACCATATTGCCATGCTGTGACGCACCTGATGCTCATTTTGGCAAATTGATTAATTCACATTCAAGACTCAAGATCTTGTTTGTGTTCTGCTTGATACGACTTCTGGAGGTCTTGTAGATCCAAGAAACTCCGAACGGGCTTGGCTTCGGTCTCCTCCCTCAGAAGGGCCGCGCCCATTGATTCCCATGCTGCTTAAAACTTCCACATGGGACAGCGAAGGGTTGTCTTGAATCACCTGAAGTGAAAATTGTGGGTTTGAATCACTCCCAGCAGGCTAAGCATCTTGTCATCAAAAGCTTCTGCCTTATCAGAACCGAGCCCACCAAGCTACAAGTACCAACTGCTCTGTGGTTGACTTAAAGGCCAGAAATGCATAGAAATGCAAGCTTCTCTTCCACTTGCAGGTCAGATTCCTGAATGAACCCACTGCAATCAAGATGCAAACATTCAAGGAGGCTCACTGCTGCAAGGCATGTGCGTCGAAGCCATTTCTGCATATTTTGAGAGTTGAAGTGATGCAAACTAGACTGCTCTCGTGCATTGTGCGGATTGAAGCTGCACAGAAGTCTTTGACTTCATGCAGTGCTTCACTGGAGCCACCAAAGCTTCACTTTGGGACGACCAAAGCTGACATTCCAAGCGAGATGATTCACAGCATTTGCGGAGTGCTTTTGCTAAAACAAAAAAAACAGGGATTGCACAAGTCATAATAGGAGGAGGACTTGTGAATTGCAGTTTGTCATAAGGTCAACTCTGGCCTCATCACAACGTGTCAATGATCTTCACAACTTCGACCATCTCGCATATGGAAAGACATATTGAAATTATTTGAAATTGCGGGTCACTGCTCCTCAGACGGACCTGAAATTCCAGTGCTACCGATCAGCCGCTGCTGCCCCACAAGAACGACTGAGCAAACTTGGGGGCCAGCTGGCATCCGGAGCAGGTGCCACCTCAGCTGCACGAAAAGCATATGACTCATCAGCACTTTGGCTGCGAAGACATGTTAGTAAGTGAGTCAGACCCTTCAACGTTTTCCATGGGAAGTATCTGTTCTTTGCCTCACGGCAAAGCTTGGCCCTTCGCCTGTGCCGAATGGCTCTTCTCGCCCACGGCACTCTTCTCAGTGCTGGCACCGGGGCCAGCAGCTCCCCCCCAAACCGCACGCGGGCCAGGTGGTGGGATTTGAGACTTGCCCTGGAGCAAGCAAAAGTTGGATCTGAAAGTCTGGAACAGTCCTTTTTGAGAGATGCACTCCATTGCGCCTTGGCCTTATGCGCTGAGGCTGCTAACGAAGTCCGCTTTCTTTCCTGCAGATAGATCATGTGTGATGTCGATCACTGTAGGTCATATAGTCTACTAGTAGCAAGAAGCTACTAGGTGGAGGCCATCGCTACTAGGAACAAGAAACTACTAGTAACATATCGTCTGACTATTTCTGGGAAGAGCAAAAACTTGGCTTTGCTGGATTGCCACGCTCTGCCTGTTTCGCTGGTCTTTGGCTCTGGTGCCACGCACCAGCTCCTGGGCACCGCTTCCGGCAAAGCGACAAATTGAATCACTCATGATTTCATGTCAACTCAATGTGTCTATCAAAATCACTCCCAACAAAGCATGAATTGAACATGTTTCAGTCAGCATTTACTTTCTAGGAAGTTCCACCTTGTGGCACATCTCCATAGGAGTTCCAGCTGGCTTGTGACCTCAACAAAAAATCACAGTGTGGGTAAGAACCTGAAGAGATCCCCCACTGTGGTCCCGGCGTGCCCAAGTTCTGTGTTTGCTCTGTGGCGAAGGTGTCGTATGTAACATCATGGTGAGCTTCAGCGAAGCTGTCCTGGTCTTCTGGAGGAAAGCTGTCCTGTTCTTCGGCACGGCTGTCTTCGAGCGCACCAGGCCTGCACGAACCATTGACTGAGCGTCTAACTCGTGACCTTCCCGCTTTGCTTTAATATAAAAGGGCCGCGACTTAATTTTGGATTTTTTTTGTTTTTCGTGCTTCGTGGCAGGTGCAGTACTTTGTGGACCTTGCAAAGCACATTTCGTGGCAGGTGCAGGACTTTGTGGATGTGGAAGTGCAGAGTTGGCAGGACTTTGTAGGCCTTGGAGTGCAGATTTGGTGGCAGGCGCAGGACTTTTTGTGGGCCTTGAAGTGCAGATTTCGTGGCAGGTGTAGTACTTTGTGGCCCTTGGAGTGCAGATTTCGTGGCAGGCGCAGGCTTTGTGGACCTTGAAGTGCAGATTTCGTGGCAGATGCAGGACTTTGTGGATGTGGAAGTGTAGAGTTGGTGGCAGGTGCAGGACTTTGTGGGCCTTGGAGTGCAGATTTCGTGGCAGGCGCAAGACTTTGTGGCCTTGAAGTGCAGATTTCGTGGCAGGCGCAGTACTTTGGATGTTGAGCTGCAGATAGATAGAAAGATAGAAAGATAGAAAGATAAATGGATGGATGGATGGATGGATAGATAGATAGATAGAGGAGGCATATTTGCTTGGTTAGAAAGTTTTGCACCGGGGAGTTCACCTTAAAATATTGATTTCGTGGCAGGCGCGGGTGTCGGGGATGAAGTGCAGATTTCGTGGCGCGGGGGGGTTGGGGGGGGGCGCAGCGCCCCCCCCCAGCAGCACACCAGATCCAAAGGTGAGCAGCTCGTGCTTGCTTGCTTGCTTGCTTCCTTGTTTGGTTTCGTCTCTGCAACGAAAACAACAGGAAAAGCAAATGCAAAAAGAGAACGGAGAACAGCTGCCAAAAAGAAAGGAAGAAAGAAAGAAAGATAGATAGATAGATAGATATAGACAGATAGATACAGACAAATAGATGGATAGGCCAAAAAGCCAAAAGCCACAAAAGCCACAAAAGCCAAAAGCCACAGAAGCCACGAAAGCCACGAAAGCCAAAAGCCACAAAAGCCAGAAGCCACAGAAGCCAAAAGCCACAAAAGCCAGAAGCCACAGAAGCCAGAAGCCAGAAGCCACGAAAAACAAAAAGAAATCCAAAAAAGGAAGAAAAAAAACAAAATTAAACGGCCCTCCAATATAAAAGAACGTTTGTCAGTTCTCTCATTCCTGCTTTTCAATTCCGTCCTCTCATCTTGCAGCGCTTGAGTCTGCTCATCGGCCAGTGCCGTCTGCCTGAGCGCAGCAAGGAAAGCAGTGAGAGCGGCTTTTTTGCCATCTACTGGGTTTTCCAGATCACCATTGCCTTTCGACTTAGACCTTTTCTTTCTTTCTGTCTTTCTTTCTTTCTGTCTGTCTGTCTGTCTATCCTTCTTTCTTTCGTTCTTTCGTTCGTTCATTCTTTCTTTATTTGTGTTGTTTTTTATTCCCGAAAGCATTGCGAAGGGTTCTTCCGGAAAATCCTTTGAACACTTACACTTCGACACTTACACTTACACACACACACACTGGAAGAGCGAAAGCATCCAAGCGCGAAGTATGCCAGTGTCAAAGTATGCAAGTGTAAGTATGCAAGCATGATATGCAAGGGTGAGTATGCAAGCACGCAATGAGTATACAAGCATGCAATGAGTAGGCAAGTGTGAGTATGGAAAACTAGCACGGGAGATGTCCTAATGAAAAAACATTTCCCCACTTTGTAAATTCTCTCTTAAAGGCGGAGTGCGGGACGAACAGCGTCAACCGAAAGTGCAACCCTCTGCGGAGATCGTGCGTGTCGAGTGCGCGAAATGCAGGCGAGAGTGCGATTTGTCCGGTGTGCGCGCAACCCTCTGCGGAGATCGTGCGTGTCGAGTGCGCGAAATGCAGGCGAGAGTGCGATTCGCCGGGTGTGCGCGCAACCCTCTGCGGAGATCGTGCGTGTCGAGTGC